CATGGGATTTGTAGTTTCACCACAGCTGGAGTTTGCCCATCTCTGCCGTAGACCAATAAAAGGCCGGCTTTTCCACCCAATACACAAAGCTAACAGCAGCAAAAGGATCCTTGCTGGGGCTACACCAGCCCACGTGCTATAACAATGCGTTTTTGTGAGCAGGTTGGTGTCACAAGGGAGGTGCGGCCCACACAGTGTGACCCCAGCAGAGGGGGTGACTCCAAAATTACCAACAACGACCACCCTGTGAAAAGTCGGGCACTCGGTCATGAACCAAGAGCTGGCCCAGGAGCTGCATGAGAAAGGAAAAGGATGCGGTGGCATTGCGTATCCCACCGGATGAACCTCCCCCCCTACTCTTTGCCGGTACCCACCGCCAAGATGTCCACCAGCAGTGTAGTGGAGTGATGTCACGTGTATACGTGATGTTGTGTTTCCCCCGGGTGACGCTGCTGCTGTTTTCTATGTGTGGAAGTGTTGGAGATGTGGGGGGTGGGCGGGGGGTATGGGGGTGCCGTGCCTTTTTCAACTTTTCGGAAACGTTGCTCTGCTATAATGCATAAAAAAGGGCAGATGGCCAGAGACTTGCAGTGCACAAATAGGCAGACATACTAAATTTCTCCTGCGCACCACCCCCCACCCCCCCCACGTTGTGGGGTGAAGGGGGCACATAGTAAACAGTTGTCTTTGGTCCCCTTCGGAGACGCGTGTCGCTCAGGTGAAGAGAAAACGCAAGTCTCCGCACAGAGTGTGAATGAGCCCCTTAGAAGTGACAGTTGGGGTCCAATGAGATTTCAAAATGGCAGTCACATGGCTACAACCAAAGATCCCCATCATCCTGGTGTAAAGTTTGGTGAACGGAGTCCGTGTTCTGCATCCACCCGCTGAATGAGGAAGATGGCGGCAGAACTCACCCTCCGCCCATGTTTTGTGTCCCGCGACACGGGCACGACATACCGAGAGTCGGACGCCATGAATGAGCCGCAGCCGGTATTTTACAGTTTTATTAGTACCTCTCTGAAGGGAGAAAGAAAATATTTAGCAAATTACTTGTTTGTCAAGACTCAGATTTACATTATCTTTATATTAAACAATATACAACATAATACACTTTGTACTATCAAAACTGATTGGAGATGCGAGACGTCATTCGGGATGACAAGTGCTGGGAGGAAGGCCAATCTGGGGGGCTGACGGGTCATCTGTGGACTGCGGATGTGCGAGCAATTTACCGCCAGCTTATCATCGTGTAAAGTACAAATGCACATTTTTTTAAAAGAAGTTGGCCGCCCATCCCCCTCTATACCCCCCCATCCCATACAAGCCCCAGGAGGCATTGCAAGACTGACAGCCACAGGCAGCATAACTCTGAGAGCCATGATGGAATTAGTAGTTTCATGACAGCTGGAGTAACAATGTCGCCTACACCTGATCTAGATGTACTGAGGGGGCCGGGGCGAATTTTAAAAGGAACCCCGTCTATCTGCATGCCCCCCTTCCCCGGTACACTAAGTGCACCATATCTAAGTGCAAGGGTTTGCCCGCCATAAGAGTGATATTTTAGTTATGAATGGACACTAGTGGTTGGACTCACTTATCACCGACTTATTATATTTCTTTAAAAGAGAACTATGGGGGAACCTTTTTCGGCCATAGTCCTCTTCAGGGTCACAGGAGCACCTATACTAATGTCCTCCTGTGACCCGAAACTCTGTATATAGCGGGCTATTGCCTTCTATATGCTGAGAGCGTAGAGCCATGGCACAGCTGGGACGGAGATCCAACACCCTGGCTGAGTGACAGCTGGCTCTGCCTATCTAGTGGCAGCTGTGCCCGCCCCCTCCCCATCTGTTCCTCCAGTCAACTCTGGGGGATCGGAGCAGGGAGGGGGGGATTGGAGCAGGGAGGGGTCACAGGTCTCTGCAGGGAGATGATCGGGAAGTGAGCGAGCGACGGTATGTGATCGCTGACTTTCCGATCAACAGAGCCGACGTGTGACAGCTTCAGTATCACGGGTAGGCTTGAATTATGGGGATGAGTGTTTTTCCCTCAACCCATAATTCTCCTTTAAGACTCCAGAGCTCCCCAAAGTTACAACCAATAGGTGAGCGGGAAGAGGCCAAGGGGTGATGAAACCCGGCGGCCTCCAAAAATAAACTGAAATGACAATTTAAAAGAGAACCGCACACAAACTCAGCAAAACTCGCCCGTCTTTCCTTCTGGGACCTGCATTTGATTTTATGACTTCCTTTGATCCAACATGTCCAAGGTAGGCAACCTCAGCACTCTAGCTGCTGTGCAACTACAAGTCCCATGAGGCATTGCAAGACTGACAGGTAAAGGCGTGGCTCCCAGAGGCAGAAGCATGATGGGAATTGCAGTGTCACCATAGCTGGAGCGCTGAGGTTGCCTACCCATGGTCTAAGGCAGGGGTGGCCAAACTCCGGCCCCCCAGCTGCGGTGGAACTCCAAATCCCATGATGCATCTCTCCGGGAGTTATGTCTGTGGCTGTGAGAATCTTGCAAAGCCTCGTGGGATTTGTAGTTCCACCACAGCTGGAGGACCGGAGTTTGGCCATCCCTGGTCTAAGGGGACAAGCACTGCTGAGTGCAATGATTAGCTGTCCACACCTCACGAATACAGAACATTATCCGCAGAACCCATTACATCATCTTACTGTTGATTTTATCCTGACTGCCGTTCTACTACAAAGCCACAAGGTGGCGCCAGAGTACAACTGAGGAACAGAATTGAAGGAGACGTGCACTTTAAAACAAACTGATCTTATCCTTTTTGCCCTGACCTACCCTAAGCCACCCTCCTCCCCCTCAGATGCAGACCTAACTAGATATGACGACCCTGGCCAAGACCGCATAGTACAAACCCATAGCCATCTATGGGACCGTTTCCCTCCCTTCATCTCCGGCCTCAGGACACAGCTCCAGAGAAGTCTCAGGAATCTTCCTGCCTCCTCCATATATAAATGAGCCCCGCAGAATCAAAGGGGAAATACCCAGGGGTAGACAACCTCACATGCCAGCTGTTGTGAAACTACAAGTCCCATGTGGCATTGCAAGACCGACAGCCACAGTAGCTCCGCCACAGCTGGAGTGCCGAGGTTGCCGCCCCCTGTGCTAGTCCAGGGGTAACCAAACTGCGAAACTCCAGCTGAGGCTGAACTACAAATCCCATGAGGCATTGCAAGACCGACAGCCACAGTAGCTCCAAGGTTGCCGTCCCCTGTGCTAGTCCAGGGGTAACCAAACTGCGACCCTCCAGCTGAGGCTGAACTACAAATCCCATGAGGCATTGCAAGATTCTAACAACCACGACGCCCGGAGATGCATCATGGGATTTGTAGTTTCACCACAGCTGGAGGGCCGGAGTTTGCCTTCCCCTGTGCTAGTCTATAACACACCTATGCTCCTTCCTGGAAACCATGAACTGGGAAGTTAGGAACCAACTAGTGAACTGGGTTGGTAGATAAAGAGCTGGGGGAACGCTGACACTACCAAAATAATTTCTACTGGAACGAAATCTAAACTGCGTGCGATCGTCTTAAAATCTCAGATAACGCAGATCGGCCCACAGAGAACGCATGTGAAAACATTTCTCATCATCGAAGGCTTTCTTTGGTTTCCAGCTAAGCTGCTTCTTGAAACGGGTGCAGGTCAATCCTCGGCCACACCCACAGATCCATTCCTTGCCACGCTATCGAATATGTAACTTAATACGCTGGGCTATGGAGAGGGTGACCACGTGGCGGCTTGTACTTGTTTCAAGCGACGACTTAGCTGAAGGAAAATCTACAAAACATCTCAGTGAAAAAAACAAAAACCTTTTAAAGAAGTTTATCCCAAAATGTTTTGGTCACAGGAAGGTAAAAAAGGGTTAGAACTTGATACACGGCCTCAGCGCTCCGGCTGTTGTGGAACTACAAGCCCCATGAGGCATTGCAAGACTGATAGCCACAGGCATGACGGGGATCTGTAGTTCTAGAACAGCTGGAGTGCCGAGGTTGCCTACCCCTGATGTTCAGCAATGGATCTTTATGAAGTGTGCCACGCGGCAAAGTGCAGCAGCCATGGACGTCAGGACCCCGCCCACATCTCCTGTTTCATTTGGCCACTCCCCCTTGGTGCGCAAGAACTGCGAGGGCTGGACTGTGCAGTAGCTGCTCTGTCATGTGACCGAAGGAAACGCATTCATTGGTTGCATTTAGTGTTTCAGATGCTCATCACAGAGCAGAATTCTGTCCCCGTTCCTCTGCACTCCGCTGCTGATCACGGGGACGCTGTGTGCGCCCAGCGTGGATAATCAACCCGTTTTAATCAGCCCTCACCCCTTTCCCAAAACATTTTCATGGCCCCCCTCTTTAAAGAGCTCGTCCTGGAAAGTTACATTCTTCCCACGCGCTCACAGAAAAGGGGGGCTGGTCAGTGACTTGCAGCTTTCAGCTAATTGAAGTTGGAGAGCCCAGGGCTACGCGAGGGTCCTGCACCCTTACCTGAAACCACCGATATCAAAATGACATAATGGAGAGCTAAGAAACCAGAATTTTATTTCTTACTTTCGGCCTGCAAATCACTAACCAGTCGCCCCCCCCCCCCCCCCCAACCCCACACACTCTGTGCGGGAAGAAAGAAAATTT